CTAATGCGGGTTTGAGCATCTTTTTATGAGATTTGGAGTATTTGTTTACCTCCTGTAGAGTCACAAGGGATTTAAACCAGGACATATCACAGTGCTATCCAAAGTATCCAAGACTTTGAAGTAGTTTTCTCAAGATAGCAAATATTTCATTACAGCCAGCGGGAATGGAGAAGACACTGGGTCCAAGCTGATGTGGGTGCCGACCAGCTGAGTGGCCTTGGGTGAGATGAGTCTTTTTCCTCATCTCTAAGGTTGGGGTCACAGTAGCAGCCTGGCGGGGTTAGTGTGGAGGATGAAATGACAGAACAGAGCAGGGAGAGGGGCAGGCAGCACAGCAGGTGCTCAGTACCTATAGTCCTCCTCAGTGATTCAAGGCCCTGCCCACAAGTATTCACTGTACACAAGGGCCTGTCTGATTGACAGCCAGAAAACGTTTGCTAGGTAGGGGGCTGGGGGCAACAAACCTGTTCTGTCCTTTTCCCACAGCTTCAGGTGCAAAGCCATTGATGGCGGAGCTGCCTGGCTTCTCTGCTTGTGAGGATGGATGAGCTTAGGCACTATATTCCAGAAATCTGGGGGGCAGCTTTGGTCTTCTGTATGCTCCTGTAAGAAGCGTGGGTAAGGGATAGGGACATGGCTTCAAAACATTAGGAAGCACAGTTGCTTTCGTAATGCATTCAACTAGTTACGCTGGCTGTTGCTGCAGATGAGGGTTATAAACTAGCACGATGAGCCTCAGATTTTTGTGCACATCAGAAATCCCTGGACATCTTATTTCTGGGCCTCGCATGCAGAGTTTCTAATTTGGAGGCCTGCGTGGGCCCGAAAATTGGCTTTTCGAACAAGTTTCAGGTGAGGCTGATGGTCCGTTTTGAAAATCACTGAATTAGAGTGAAAGCCTTTCCATCCCTGAGAATCATGAGGGCAGTGCTGGGGTTTGGAAGCACGGGGATGACTCTCCCCACATTTCAAGCTCAGAATTCCGGGCTCAGGCCTGCTTACCAATGGGGCAGGGTTCCTCCAGGGCAAGGAATGGGGACAAAAATGGAGACAATAGTCATATGGAAGGGGAAGGGGAAGGGGAAACAAAGGCATCTCAAGTTAAAAATAACCCTAAAAACACGATGACATACGGACAATTATCACCTCCCTTCTGTAGATGAGGAACGTGAAACTCAGAGCTGAAGTAACTTTCCTAGAAGCATAGCGCTGGCAAGTGGGGAGCAGGGATGGGCGCCTGGATTGCCTGACTATTGCACTTGTTCTGCTGCCCCCGAAGCAGCATAGCCTGGAGCCAGGTGCCCCAGGTATGAAGTCTGGCTCCACCATCTGGCCAGCTGGGTGTTCTCTGCAAGACGCTCAGCCCCTCGGTGTTTCAGTTGGCTACCTATAAAATAGAGGTCCCTACTTCACTGCTTGTTGTCAAGATCCACTGAATTAATATTTATGAAGTGGTTGGGTCAGAACCTGGCACACAGTACTGCCATATAAATGTACCTACGGAAAATACACCTGGTGGCCCACCAGCCAGAGTGCACACTCTCTGCACTTCGGGGGTCAAGCTCTGGGAAGAGAGCTCAGAGGTCGGCTAGTACACAGAGTCAGGGTAGGCAGAAACACTCAAAAGCCTCCAATTTGGGGATTGAGAAGAACCCAGTTTTGGGTGGGGGTGGGAAAGGGTCAGAGAGTGGTGACAACGCCTCAGGCCCAAATCTTGCTAAGCTGTTCTCTCCAGATTGCTCTCCTCCAGAACCAGACTCCAGACCAACCCGCCTGGGTCTCAACCTCCCCTCCCCCTTGACACCCCCAACCGAGGAGCTCCGGGTTTCCTGCCTGCCAAGGCCCCTGCTTGGGGTGGGCGGGCGGAGGAGGGCTGGTATTTCCTGGCGCGGCGCAAGCGTCACCAGCTCCCGGACTCTGGGACAGAGCGCTGACCGACAGGCACCAGATGCTATTTCGGGCGGAGCCCCGCTCTGCTCGCAGTTTCCGTTTTTTCCACCGACGGTCGGAAACAGGGGAGAGGGAGGGAGTAGACATCACGAGCCCCCTGGACAGGTTAGGACCAGCTGGCAGGTGAGAATAGAGGGGAATGGTGGACATCACCTCCCCAGACACAGTGTGTGGCAGGGCTGAGAAAGCCTTTCGGTCCTGTTTCTTCCCCACAGCGCTTGGGCAGGGTCATTACCCTGTAAGTCAAGGCAACAGCCTGTTGTTGCCTCAAAGGCACCTAAAGTCAAGGAATTCAAAACCAAATACAGAATCCTTCCCTGTGTCCCTTGGCCTCCAAGCGACCATCTAAGGAAAGGAGAATCAGAAACCTTGAGGGTCCCTGGATTTCTCCTTCCTCTCACCCCCCAAATTCTTACAGACCAGGTTTTGTATCCCAAACAGGTCATTTTCATCTGCCTCTTGCCATCTCTTCTGCCAGCATCCCAGTTCATGCTCCCTGGACCACCCCATTCCCAGACTAGTCTCCCCACATTCTTCCCACCCCCACACACCTCTTCACCTTGAAGCCAAAGACATTTTAGAAATGCAAATCTGATCCTCTATAGGACCCTACATCTACCCTCAAACCAAATAAACAAGATGATTCTCTCAAAATCCTTTGACTTGTTCATAGGCTTGCTCAAGTCATACCAGACTCTTTTCTGTTCCTTTCATTAACCTGAAGCCCTTCTGCTTTAGTCCTGGACCCACCTGGAAGGCTCTAGATGCTCACTCTTCTACCCACACTTAGATCTGAATCCAGGCATCTTTTCTCAGGAAAGCATTCCCTGGCTGGGCTCTCTGGGAGTGGCCAGCCCCTTTTTTGCAGGGGCTCAGAGACATGAAATGACTTGCCAACAATGCCACAGCCCGACAGGGCTCTGAACTCAGAATTCTATGACCCAAACCCTTTCTATTAAGTGGTGCAGCTGGGCAAAGGCAATGGAGACCTGAAGAGGGAGAGATGAAAGCCAATCCCTTGCAGGGAGGCTTCAGGCAGAAAGTGGCAGAAAGGTTGAGTTTGGAAGGATGAATGTGAGAGGAGGAGGAGGACAATAAGGCAGAAGAAGGACCAGCAGAAACTAGGGCACAATGGAGGGAGAGTTTGATTTGATAACAGTATAGGAGGCAGGGCTGGAACCATGGGATGAGAGTGAGACCTGGGGCTGACCAGACCCCAGAGGCCCCTCTTCAGGGTCCCTGCTGAACAGTTGATGTAGCTGGGCCAGGGGATTTCTTGTGGAATTAGACTCTTTTTTTCAGGAAATGGATGGCCTTTTTCCCATGGGATTCTGTAAAAGTTACCTGTTTCCACACAGCACCCTAACTTCCACCAGAGAACACAAGGGGAACAGAGGGGACAGACAGGTTGCACTAACCTCATTGCATCTTCATGGAGAGCTGTCCTGATGACCCATGAGGAGCCAGGACTCAGACTGCAGTCACACTGTGGGCTCGGTTCTTGACTGGAACTCAGTCTGTGACCAGTCAAAGGGCTTTTCCCTAGTTCTCAGGTCCCAAAAGGAGCTCAAAACCAGAGAATCTGGAAGGACAAAGCAGCCTGGCACTGTGGGTTGAGCTGGGGACTGGGAACTGGATACTTGAATTTGGGTCTTGGCTTTTCTTGTAGGTCACTGTAAGCTTTGGCCAAGTCACATCTCCCCACACCTTTATTTCTTTCTCTGTAATAACAGCCAGAACCCCATACAAGTGTATATGATGTCATCCTGGGTTCTGGGCTGGGTGAGATTTCATAGATTATTGTCCTCACTACCTCTTTTTAAAGATCATTCTGTTTAATCCTCACAACAACTCAGTGAGGTAGGTATTATCTCCCCATTTTACATATGAGGAAACAGGGGTTCAGAGCTAAGTGACTTGTAAGCCTTGAACCTGTCCAATTTCCAATCCCCTACAAAACAGTGAACCCAGACACCCTCCATGGGCTGACCCCAGTCGACTACCCCTTCCTCAACCCAGATTTCTACTCCACAGTACAGATCTTGATTCCTCAATGAGTTGACCCTAGACTCCTCCTCCAAGCCTAGGCTCCCCCTGCCCTTCATCAGCTGGACTCCGGAGAAGACTCTGGTGCTCAATTTGCTTCCGATCCATACCACTCACTAGATATGTAACACTGGGAAAATTACTTTTATTTTCTGTGCCTCCGGTTTCTCATTTGTAAATTAAGGATAATAATAGCACCAATCCTCTTAGGATTGTTTATGAGAACTAAATGAGTCAATATTTGTAGAGTGCTTAGAACAATGCTTCTGTAGCAAGATTAAACTTTAAAATAGTATGGGAGAAGGGATGTTTCTGGACTCTGGTCTCAGCCTGAAACACAGTAGAACGGACATTTTAATCTCTCCAGTGACACCAGTCCTGCCTCCATGGAGCCCCTGGGGTGAGCTCAGTCCATGACGTCCCAGGCAAGCAGGCTCCATTTTGGAGCAGAAAAGAGCCAGGGCTGAAGGAGGTGGGATAATAAGGAGGAGCTGCCCGGTGCAATCTGGGTGTCTAGGACACTGGAGAAAGAATAAACGGTGTTGCAGGGAAGGGTTGGGAGTGATGGTTTTGGTATCCTAGTCTTCAGAGGCAGGGACAAGGTGCTGGGATGGGAGTCACTGAAGAAAGGTGGTTGGGAGGCCGAGGGAGGTACTGATGTGGTGGGGGAGCCCATTTCCCCCAAGAGGCCTCAGGATCAGAAATGGGGCTGGACTCGCTAGGTCCTAGACAGCGCGCTTGACTCTGCACCGAGCATTCCGGAGCCCGTCTCAGCCACCAGCCACCAGTCCCCACTCCCTCCAGTGAAATTGCCAAATTAAAATGAATCATTTGGCCCATAATGGCCGAGGTGCTTATCGAGGGCGAGCGGACCCGCGGCAATGCCTTATCTCCGCGGCGCACACGGCCCCGGCGCGCCTCGGCCCATGCTAACGAGGCCTGGAACGTGAGCGGGATTAGAGCGAGTTAGTGGAGGAGCCGTGCGCGGCGCGCGCGCGGGCGGGCGGGGGACAGGGGCGGGGGAGGGCCTCCGCACTAAAGACCGGGCCTCAAAATGGCCACACGCGTCCCCCCGTCGCTGCAAAACGTGAGCATTCTGGCCTTTTTCTGGGGGAAAGCAACCTGCGGCCTCCCAAGGAATTCCCCATCAATTTCCTCCTTCTTTTTCCCCATTCGCAGAAGAGCCCTTCGCTCCTTTTCCTTCGGTTTCTTTCGATGGGGGGCATTTTCCACGGACGCCGTCGCGCTCGCCGCCGCCGCCCCTCCCGCCTCGGAGACTCTCTTCCTTCCTTCCCCCTTTTCCTTACGCAATATACAGAAATGCGCGAGGCGGTGGTTGGTTTTCATTTCTTCTTCGTGGTTGTGTGCATGCGGTGGGATTGTGAGAGTGCGTGTGTGAGCAGTGGGCAGTGTTGACTTCTTCCGAGTGCGGTCTTCTTGGCGATCGGTTGTGGGGTTCGAGTGGGATGGTGTCTTTGCTGTGTGGGTGTGTAGATTTGGATTCTTCGGGCTCCTGCGTTTTCAGCGTTGTATATCATTGTTAGTTTGCCTTCTCGACACGGGTCTGGTTCTGTGTGTGGAGTTGTATGGCCTTTGCGCTTCTGTCTGGGTGGTTTCGTTGTTGTGTTGGGCGTGTGTGATCTTGACTAGGTGGGGTTGTGTGTCCGTGAGAGATTACGCTTGACTGATTTCGTTGGGTCATATTGGACAGTGTGCGGGCCTGACCATCTCGGTTTGTGGGGCAGAGTGGAGTTGTGTTTATGCTGCTTCCCTTCTATGGGGCTGGACCGTGTGTGGTCCTGTCCTCTGGATTGTGTGTCTGTGTGCTTGTGTCCTTTAGAAGTGCATTTGCACATCGCTGGTGGGTAGCGGGGGAAGGGGAGCCGGGGATGGAGGCGCAAATTGAGGAGGCGGCATGGGGGCAGGGAGACGAACTTCACATTTTATTCCAAATTATGATGTATTGGGAAGCCACCATGGGCTTGGGCAGACAGAGCCCGATCGGTGGCTGCTCGGTCCCGAGGCCTCGGTGATTCAGGGATTTGATAATGAATGGGAGGCTCTTCCAGGCTTCAAGCAGAGCAGCGCTCGCGGAGGCCCGCGCCTTGCAGCGGGTAGCCCGGGTTTGGGTTCTCTTCGCTTTCCGGCTTTGTCCATTTCTGGCTAGTTTCGCGGGTATGGCGGCTTGAGTATATCGGTGAGGCCCGGAAAAGACAATGGGTATATTCTCCAGGCCTCGCGCCTCGGGTGGGGCCCCTCGGGATCATCTCTAAGGAACATTTTCTTACTCCCCTCCGGTGAGCGACATGCCCGTGTGGGTCGGGTACCCGTCGCATCGGTGCGCCGGTCCGGGCTCCCAGGGACGGGGTCAGTGCTGGCCTAGCTCCAGAAGAAAGGTGTGTGTGTGTGTGTGTGTGTGTGTGTGTGTGGTGTGTGTGTGGTTTCTAATGCCATCATCACCATCTTATTTTAATTAAAACGATAGTCCAGGAGTAAAGCGGCTTTTCCCTTGTAGCTTCTTTGGATCCGTAACAAAGCCGCACGGTTTCCCCCTAGCAGCTCTCTGTTTGTTTGTTTGTTTGTTTGTTTGTTTGTCTGTCTAAAGTTGCTGGGTTTAGGGTAGGGAGAGAAAATGGTGAGAGATGGACACAGGGACTTGATCATACAGCAGAAATTAACCTCGACCTAAAACACTGAGAATGAGTGGATTCCCCTTCTTTCCACCCCTCCCCCATGTGGATTAGAAGAGGAGAAAGAAAATCTCCCGCATTGGATTGAAACCGCAGGGAAGAATTGTTCCTATATTTCCACCAGAGCCGGACAAAAAGATGGAGGCCTATGCAGTCAATCCAAAACTTCCATGTATGATCATAAACTGGATGATTTAGGCAAAACAAATGAAACAAAACCCTCCCGAGGGGGGGTGGGCAAGCTAAATCTCGCTACCGCTATACCCTGGGAAGCAGTAGTGGGTTTGTTTTTACCCTCCTTCCCTTTGCCTTGTTTATTGCTGCGAGGAATTATTAGAATTCTCCCCGTCTCTGCTGGTCTGCTCACCGTAAAATCGAAATTCGTTGTGTGGGGATGGTTGAGGGGAGGAGGGTTTTTTTCTTTCTTTCTTTTTTTTAAATTGAATTTATTGAGGTGACATTGGTTAATAAAACCGTGCAGGTTTCAAGTGTACAATTCAAAACATCATCTGCATAGTGCATAGTGCGCTCATGGCCCAAAGTCTTTTTTTCATCCAGATTCTCTCTCTCTCTCTCTCTCTCTCTCTCTCTCTCTCCCCCTCTCTCTTCCTTTCTTTCTCTCTCCCTTCCTTTCTTTCTCTTTTCTTTCTTTCTTTCTTTCTTTCTTTCTCTTTCTTCTTTCTTTCTTTCTTTCTTTCTTTCTTTCTTTCTTTCTTTCTTTCTTTCTTTCTTTCTTTCTTTCTTCTCTCCCTCCTCTCCTCCCTCCCTCTCTTCCATTTTTTTCTTAATAGGAAGAAAAAAACCGTGTCCTGGGTAGATCAGATACTCCCCCCACCGCCCCCCAATTCCTCTCGGATCCGCGCGGTTCGGACTCCATTCCTGCAGGAAAGCAGTCTTTGAATTGGGTTCTGGTTTCGCTTTAGGCTGGAGGTGGGCAGGTGGGGGTCATGGAGAGAATGGAGGACTCAGAGATTCTGCCCCGAGGACCAGGGTCTGAAAACTGGACTCCCCTTTTCCAACACACATCTCACCTCTACCCCACACCCCACACACTCTGGCCAGGCTTCGGACCACTCCGCCGCTGTGGCTGCAGCTCCAGCCTGACCCGGTTCCTGGGCCAACCACGTAGACACCTCAGTGTTTAGCTCGGTCACACTGAACCCGACATCCCGGTTGGCGGGTCCGAAAATGTTCCGGGCAGCCTGCAGCCGGGCTGTTGTTGTGGTTGGACTAAATAGTTATTCCTGATTGGTTAGGTGTAGGGTTCTTTTTTTTATGGGGTTGGGGGAGGCTTCAAACACCTGCAAGTTGGGGGCGGAAAAGCGGTTCGCGATTCCCTGGGCTGGTTGTCGAGGACGTGAGGTAATTCCCAGCCATTGACCCCCATTTCTCTCTCTCCCTCCCTTTCGCCCTCCCTCTTTCTCTCCACCCCCATCTTTCCTGGAAACTCGATTTGGGCGCGGCAGACCGCCCAGGACCACACCGCGGCCTAACTGCTGGTCTCTCGAGAGAGGGGGAAGCAAAGACCCCCGTCCACCGCCTGGACCTCGGCTCCCGCCCCTCTCCGGCGGAGTAGTGGAGATCCTGTTCAGAGGGACCGGTCTCTCTAAATATGCCCCAGGTGAGTTTGCGGGACCAGTATCTGTGGAAATGGTGTCCAGGAAGGCCTTGGGTTCCGGCCTGGGTGGAGGAGGCTCGGGACAGTCTAGGCTCAGATGGAGGGGGGAGGGGAGGACGAACCCAGAACCAGGAATCCGGAATCTGACTCCGCTGCTGACTGTGGCCTCTGTGCTTCTGTGGCGTCCAGAAGGGCCCTTTCCTTTTTCGACTCTCAGCAAAAACAGCTTTTTTTTTTTTTTTGTACAATTAATAAAACCAGAACGTTAGTCCCCCAGGCTGTTGTCATCAGTTCTGTGGACGTTTCCCAAGGCTCCTAACTTTGGGGTGGCTATATCCGGGTGGTGCAGGCTGCCTGCGCCAGAGGATCCGGCAGCAGGAAGAAGGCCGCAGCCATCCCGGCTAGCGCAGTCCCAGCTCGGGTGGGCCCTGAGCCGCGCTTAGAGCCTAGGGTGGGGCGCGCTGAAACTCCCCTCCGCTCCCCTACCTGCACGGGGAAATCGGTTCTGTTTACTGGAGATGTTGGTACTGGAGATGCTGGTTCTCGAGCGTGCTTGGGGCTCCCCCAGGGGGTCATGCGGTGGTGGGTGCAGTGTGAGGACTGGAAGCCGAGTCTAAGGCGGTCGCTCTAGCCCCAGACACCTGGGAGGGTTTCATATAAGAAATTCTGTTTCGGAATTGGGAACTGCCTGAGACCCGGTGCCTCCCCACCCCCCTTCTCAGGAGCTCCTGGGACCCCCTGACTTGTTCAGGCACACGGAAACGTTCTGGCGGTTGGCAGCAGGAGATGAAAATCCGGTATTGGGTGCTGCGAGCTGGGTCTTGGCTGCACAAAGACAGATGAATTGTAATGGTCGGGACTTGCTAGTGCTCTTCAGTTTGAAACCTCTCCCCTTTCCTTCATCTTCCCCCAATAAAAACAAAAACCACTCAGGCGTTCTTTTTAGTGATCTTAAACGAAGTCAAGTGATGGGGTTTAGTTGCTGAAAACCGACAACCAAAGTTGCTTGTGAGTCCTCTTGTGGCATCTTCTGGAGCATAGACCCCTGGCCTGGGTGATATGAGTGGCAGAAGTGCCAGCTGGGTGTTCCTGAGGTCCAGGGAGGGGCAAGGAGTGGTCCGCCACAGGCCCCGGAGACCAATCTAAGGTTTCTGCAGGGAGCTTGGGAGATATAGATATTTATAGGCATCTGGAGAGGGCATTTGGGGCCAGGGTCAACTCATCTAGAATATGTTCTCCCTTGTCCCTCCAGGATCTGCTCCATGAGTGGGGGAGCCTGGAATTAATCAGAGGGTATAAATGTGTTATAAGGAGAGCTTGAGCTCAGTCCAGCGATTGCAGTGCACATCGTTTGTCATTCGATTAGAAACTGGGCTGAAGCACGTGTCACTGAGCACACTACACATTGGGACAGTAAGGTAGGGAGCCAGCACCTTGGGGCTTGTGCCTTTTGTCATGAAATGGTATATTTCTGGTGCATTTCACTGCTGCATGGGAGCCAGGAGGACCTACAGGTATACCTTGGGTCCATTTCTAGTGGCTGCAGTGTCTTGGCGGTCCCATTCTGTGGATGCAGATCTATTGTTTCCGCCATAATTGTAAACTCGCTTCCAGTGAAGCATTGTGGACCCCACTGCCTTTGCAGCCGTATGCACCAGGTCTCAGGGAATTGTGCTGTTTCTGGGCTGGGCCTCAGGGCCGGCAGACACAGGGAAGGAGCACAGTCTGAATGGCGATTCTCCATCTGCTTGTGTATCTGGGGGCCATTGAGCCGTGCTTCACAGGAGATTTTAGAAAGTATGGTCTCTCTTCTGGGATAGGAGGATGGTGCCCAGGCGGACTCCGGTCTTGAGCAGTGCAGTGGCAGAACGGAAGCTCAATGGCTGCCATGAATGGTTAGATGGACACCGCTTGGGGCTGAATTGGATTTTTGTGTATTTGTTTTCTGCTATAAAATACACCAACTATATAATTCTGAGAACAGAAATCTTATTTTGAACATTTTATGATGCCTGTCGAGTTGATTATATATTCTTATATAAAACAACTTAAAGGCATCCCCAACCTCTAGGCCCAGAGTCTCATGGGTTTTTTTTTTTTTGTTTTAGTTCTTGATGGGGCCTGGCTCCACTGGCATCAAAGCAAGGTGATGGAAGAAACTGAACAAATGCTCTGTGGGGCAGTGGAATATGGTTGTGGTCATCCTGGCATATGATTGTGGAGGAGAAGGGTGTCCTTGGCTCCTGGTGGAGTATAACTGGGAGGGCACATATGGAGTAGGCAGAGTGAGATCGGAGTTCTGGTCCTGCGCTGTCACGAATCCTTGTGACTTTGGGCAACAGTCCTCTGGATGGCCCACAGTCTCCAAGTCAATAATGATGTTTACTTGAGCCATTGTGCAGTGCTTTTAAATGCATAAGGAGGTATTTCTCAGAGGACAAAACCAAAGCAGAAAGAGGGTGGGGGAGTGCTGGAAGAGTTCAAGAGCCTTTATGACACCCCTTCCTGTGTGGATGGGAGCCCAGACCCCAATAGCTTCAGGGGCACCTTCTGAATGTGCAGGCTCCATACTGCTCCAGTCAGGCCTCCCTAGCAGACCCCACCTCACTTCTGAATACAGCTGAGCAGAAGAGGGTGGAGTGTGCAAGAAGGTAGGGCCCAGATCATCTTCCCTTCCTGATGTCTCATCTCCAGTCCTGGTGGGAGTAAAGGGAGGCTAGGGTTTCCAGCAGCTACATAGAATACCGTGGATTTGCTTAGTATAGACAAACACCCTGCAGGGGGTGAATATATGTTGAAAAGGGGGGTGCTGATTCCCTGGGGTTAATTCTCTGGCAGCTCCAACAGAGTAGACCCCAGGTCCTGTGGCCTCCATTCCCTAAACTTCCTACTGCACCCCACCAGGTTTCTAGGTATGTGTGTGGCTGTAGGCTGGAGGAGGTATTGCTGAGAGGTTCTTAAAGCACCCCACCACCGAGAGACAGATTCCCCGCCAAAACCAAGGGGGGGAGGGATGGGGGAGGAACTTGGTCGGGGATTTGTTCCCTCCTCTTCCCTTGTGGCCTGAGAAGAGAGACGGGGTGATATTTCTCTCTCGCCTCTTTCTACATTTCCTTCCTCCTTTTTCCCCTTCTGTTTTTCCTTCGTTGGCTATGCCTTTTCTTCCAATGTCTCTGCCCTCTTTCTCCATCTCTGTCCTTTTGGCCCTCAGTCTCTGTGTCTCCCAGGTACCCTCGCCTCTTCTCCCCAACCAAAGACCCCCTTTCCTCCCTCCCCAGCCCCACCAGGGCTTTAGGCCCCGAGGGCCAGTGTGTGTCCACGTGGCTCTGAGCCTGTCGCCTTTTCTCACGTTCGGTGCGTGAGTTTCTCTTTCTGCCTTCACCCCCTTACCGCACCCCACGTCGGTGGACTAGGGGCGGTGGTTAGAGCGGGCGTCCGCGTGTTTGTCTGTCTGCCGGTAGGATGACGGAGCGGCCGCCGAGCGAGGCGGCACACAGTGACCCCCCGCTAGAGGGACGGGAGGCGGCCGAGGCCCGCATGGCCCCCCCGCACCTGGTCCTGCTGAACGGCGTCGCCAAGGAGACAAGCCGCGCGGCCCCAGCCGAGACCCCTGTGATCGAGCTGGGCGCGCGCGGGGGCCCGGGGGGCGGCCCCGCCGGTGGGGGCGGCGCCGCGCGAGACTTAAAGGGCCGCGACACGGCAGCGGCCGAAGCGCGCCATCGGGTGCCGACCACCGAGCTGTGCAGACCTCCGGGGCCCGCACCCGCGCCCGCCCCGGCCCCCGCGGAGCTGCCAGGCGACGGCCGGATGGTGCAGCTGAGCCCGCCCGCGCTGGCGGCCCCCGCCGTCCCCGGCCGCACGCTGCTCTACAGCCTCAGCCAGCCGCTGGCCTCGCTCGGCAGGTCAGTGTCCAGCGGGAGGGCGCGGGAGAGTGGGCGGCGGGCAGGCGGTCACGGCCCGGGGGCTCCGCGTCTGCACCTCGGGGACGCGTGGCTGGAGCGCGAGAAGAGAGAGGGGTGTTTTAAATTAATGGGCGGCAAAGTCTAGAAGCCCCGTATGCGAGTGAGAAAGGAGCCTGCTGTGAGCATGTGTGTGTGTGTGTGTGTGTGTGTGTGTGTGTGTGCGCGCGCGCAAATATGGGGGTGCCTTGTGACTGCAGAGCGCTGGGGTGTGGGTAAGCCGAGAAGGGAGAGTGCAGGGATATGACTGGGTGTAAGCAGAAGCACGGGGTGCTGTGTGGTTGGGAGGTACGGGACAACAGGAGGGAGTCTCATGAATGTGAGTACCAGGCAACAGTGGGTCTGAATGTGCCCCACTGTGAAATTCTGGAAGCTGCAGCCCCCTGGGGACAGGTAAGAGATAAGGATCTGAGGGTGACTGGGAGCAGGCACCTCCTTTACATCTGAATCTCTGCTCTGGGGTCCGTTTTTGGAGTGGATCCCTTCCTCCTATTCCTAGCCCCTCTGCCCCTAGCTGTGGTCTCTGGCTCCAAGCCTTTCCACCCTTTGGTGTGAGGGTGTCCTGTTTCCCTGCTGAGGCCACTGAGAAGGTAGAGAAATGAAGGCCGAGTTGGGGTGGGGATACACAGTGTGGCACAGTCATGGAGTCTGCAGGAGACTTCAAAAAGAAGCTATAGAGGGTCCATAGCGGATCCACTCCCAAAGTGGGTGATGGGGGGGCATGCCAGTGGTGGTGACTCAGGGTTTCCTGTCTGTTGTCTGTCCACAGGCCCCATGGGGCCAGGGTGAAAGTGGAGGGAGGTTGAGGGGAGGGAACAGTGTGCCCTTTTGTGGTGCTGGAGTTGCACACCACCAAGTGTGAAGGCCATGCCTGCCTGTGCGAGCACCTGTGAGAGTGGAGGTTGTGTGTGGATTGTGTGCTTGTATTGGGGGAGGGGAGTATGTCTATCTGTGAGGGGTGTGTGTATTCATTCTTGTGTTTGTTCCATATATTCACCTCTGATTGTGTGTGTGTGTGTGTGTGTGTGTGTGTGTGTGTAGGGATGCATGGGTATGTGACCCTTCACCCCTTGCTTGTTTCACCACAAAGTGGGTGGGAGCATTCTGTGTATGCTTGTGTGTGTGTGTTTCATGCTCCTTCTATCCCAATTCAGGTGTGAAGGGACCATGGTTGCCCTTATTTTCCAGAGGGTGGGGAGCTCAAGGGCATGCAGGAGGATTGCTAAGGAGCCTCTCTCACCTCCACCCTACATATGGTCTTGTGATCTGCCTTCTCCTTCCCACAGTGGGTTCTTTGGGGAGCCAGATGCCTTCCCTATGTTTGCCACCAACAACCGAGTGAAGAGGAGACCCTCTCCTTATGAGATGGAGATTACTGATGGTGAGTTTGTCTGCCTCCATCTTTGTTATTTGCCCTCCTGTTGGTTAGAGCCCCCTGAAGGAGAGATTTTGAGGGCTACTCCTAGGTGTCTCATGTGGCTGGGCAGGCTACCTTGGAACCCCAAATTGCTGGAAGTCACCTTGCAACTGAGCTGGGACTAGGGAAGAAAGGACATGAAGGTAAAGACACATTGTGGCATTTAGCCCAAACCTCTATGGGCCAGTCGCAGGCCCCACTCTGGCTCCATTCCTACACTTGGCAATGATCCTGGGGAGGGCAGAAACACAAGGCGCTTCTACACTAAGCACTAACCCTTAGGGATTCCCTGTTCTTCCTTCACGACCTCTTTGGAGCCTTGAGTCTGCTCCTTGCCTGGAATTACACCTTCAAGGGTCTTCCTCCAAGCCCCTACATGTGGGGCCCTCTTGTTCCTTGTTCCACACTCAGGGCTGAGACTTGGAGTTCCCTGCCTGGCATTATAGAGTCTACACTGCCCCTTTGTTTCCCCAGAAGGACCCTAGCTCTTCTGTTATGTACTGTCTGGGTAGTTTTTGGCCCTGAACTTGGGGGAAGGGTTGAATGAGTGGAAAATTTGGAAGACCCCTTCCCTCTTCCCAAGGTTGACCTGATATAGCAGACGGGGCCCACCACCAGCGGCAGGAGAGCAGACTCTTCAGAGCTGAGGGATGTTGACGAAATCCCTGGAGCTTCCAGTGCTCAGCCTGGCTGGGGCCTGGGCTCCTGAAGGAAGGGCACCTGAGGCCTTGGAGCCAACACTGAGATTTATGCAAGGGGCAGGTGGCAGGGATGTGCATTGAGCTGGACCTTCTGGAGGGGAACCCTCTGTGGTCTCTGGAGAGGAGAGGGCCTGGAGTCTGGGCAAGGAACAGACCTCAAAAGACCCAACAAGCCTGGGTCACAGGGATATAGGGCCAAGAGGGAAGGGTGAAGGGGCATCAGTGCTGCTAGAATAGAGAGGGGAGGTGGGTGTACCAAACAGGAAGTAGGCAGGACCAGTCCTCAAGTTCCCCAAGGAAGAGGCATTTTCTACAAAGGGCAGAAGCAATGGAAGCCAGGCACAGAGAAGAGGAAAAAGAGGGGAAGGGGACAAGGGTTTGGGGGAGTGCAGGAGGGTTAAGGAAGCCTGTTACCCATAATGTTAACAATATTTGCTGAGCACCTACTCAGTGACTGGCCAGAGAGGGACGGAGGGCGTGCAGGATGGACAGATTCAGGAAAGAGGAAGGTGTGGAGAGGTGGGTAGTTCTCCAGAAGGAGCCAAAGAAGAATAGACAGAAATGAGGGTGAAGGAGAGGGTGTGAGGGTGCAGGATAGTCCATGGACTTTGAAATCAGCAAGTTAACCTAAAAGGGTGCGTAGTAGTGGAACTAATGCAAGGTCTAAAGTCAGGACTTGATGTGGCTCCTGTTGCTAAACTTCTCTGGACCTCAGTTTTCTCAATCATAAAGTGGGCAGAATAATAGCTTCCTCACATTATTGAAAGTGTACAGTGGGGTAAAGTGTTTTTAGGGCCTGGCTTGGGGTAGGTGCTCCTTCTGGAGCCTGTCTAGCTCTAGCTGTGACAGCAGTCATAATGACACCCCCAACCCCAGGAGCTACCTCAAGATCAGCCAGCAGTAGTCATGGAGCAGGGACTGGTTCTCCCTAGGTCACAGCTGAGGGACTCCCCTCCACCTGCCTGAAGGCAGAGAACAGCAAGTTACTTCCTCTGAGGCACCTAGGATAGGACTGCCTAGCAGGTGTGCTGTGTTTTTCCCAGCCTGGGTCTGGCTTTTGACAAAGAGTCAGCTGGCCTGGGGCCTGTTGGGATTTGGAAAGACAGCTTCAGAGGCACTGTGGCAGTGGATGAGTGGTCCTCCCCAGGAAAATGTGTGTGTGTGTGTGTGTGTGTGTGTGTGTGTGCGCGCGCGCGCATGCATCCGCGCACATGTAGGAGAGAGATGATCAAGCAGAAAGTGTTGGCGTGGATGAGCTGGGTCACAGACTGACCTTGAAGGCAAGGTCTCCTCTGTCCTGGCCTTGGTTCCTTAGCTGTGAAATGAAGAGTAGGTCTTAGGTGATGTCTTGACTTTTCTTTTCCTCTTCTCCTCTGCCCAACTTTCCACATTCTGAGCTCTGGTTCCAAGGGTCATAGGAAGAGAAGAAATAAATATGCCAGTATTGGCAGTTCCTCCAGTGTGCAGAGCTTCCAGTGGGAGCCCAGCTCTGTGCTGGGGAGGGAAGCGACCACCCCAACCCAGGAGCTCAGGAACACAAGCAGGCCCACCTGTCTTCCCCGGCTTTGGGAATCCCAGGTCAGGCTGTGACATAACACAGTGCTTTACACACCATACATGCATGCTGATGTCTGTCACTGCTCTGCAAGTCTTAGTACGTGAAGGCAGTGAGTATTAGTCCTGTCTATAATCAGTGCAGTGTAGACATGGAAAGACCGAGGCAGCCCTCAGATGCCTGCCTAGAGCCTCGGGCTGAGCCTGTGCATGGTGGTCTCTCCACTCTCCTGGGGGAGAGAGCCCAGTGTAAGTCCTTTTCCCTCTGGTCTCTGGTCTCTCTTCCATTTCCCCAGCTGCCAGCATGATCAGTCAGCAAACATTTACTAAACCCTTACTCTGTGTTTACCCTGAGAGTAAAATCCCCACACTTACTATAGGTCCCTATGGGGTTGGACTCAGCCTACTCTGATCTCACCCACACTAATCCAGCCAGGCTAGCTTCAACCATTTTTCAGCTCAGGGCCTTTGCACGTGCTATTCCCCCTTCCCATACCTGACTGGCTCTCCTTCAGCCTGAAGTTCTTACCTTATAGATGTTACCTTCTCCAAAAGGCCATCCCCCACCAACCCGGCTAAAATAGTAGCTCCTTTCAATTTTATTTATAGTCAGCCTCCTGTCTGTTATCTGTTTGCTACCTGTTCATCATCTTTCATTCCCTTTAAAATGTAAGCTCCAGGAGGGCAGTCACTCTGTGTTGGTCACCATTATTCCTCAGTGCCTGGTTGTTTGGAAATAATTGATGCACAGATAACAATAGCTAACAATTATTGAATGAATGTTTAATCTGAGGCAGGTATTGTCTTAAGTACTTTGCCTGTGTTAGTTGTTAGATCCATGTGATAATCTTATACTTGAGTGATTGGTATTATCTCCATTTTACAGATGATGAAGCTAAGGCAGAGAGAGTTGAGTAGTTTGCTCAGAGTCACTATCTAGTAAGTAATAGTCAGGAATTGAACCCAGAAAGTCTGGCCCCAGAGTTTGTCTTCATAGTTATGTAATGAGTGAATGAATGATATGTGGTCCTTGTCCTCAAATGTCTCACAGTCCAGAGAGAAGAGAGACCAGCATAGAAACATACAGTAATGATCAAGAGTAACAGAGATCCAGGGATTATAGGGCCATGGTGGTTGGTTGGATCTCTCTGGAGGGGTTGAGAGGAGTTCTCAGGAGGAAACAGATGAACTGGGTTTTGAAGTATGAGTAAGAGTTTTCTAAGTAAAAGGACAGAAGGCATTCTAGATTTTCCAGGTTTCCCAATGAATGGTTTTTCTCCTTCTCCACAGGAGAAGATCCTTGGGAGATTTCCAACCCATTCGCCTAACCATTGTCCTCTTGCCCTCCAGGTCCCCATACCAAAGTCGTAAGGCGCATTTTCACCAACAGCCGGGAGCGATGGCGGCAGCAGAATGTGAATGGGGCCTTCGCTGAGCTCCGCAAGCTCATCCCCACGCACCCCCCAGACAAGAAGCTCAGCAAGAATGAGATCCTCCGCCTGGCCATGAAGTACATCAACTTCCTGGCCAAGCTGCTCAATGACCAGGAGGAGGAGGGCACCCAGAGAGCCAAGGACCCCGTGGTGGGGGCTGGAGGAGGGGGTGGGGGGGGAGGGGGTGGTGCACCTCCAGACGATCTCCTGCAGGATGTACTGTCCCCCAACTCTAGCTGTGGCAGCTCCCTGGATGGGGCAGCCAGCCCGGACAGCTACACAGAGGAGCCCGCACCCAAGCACACAGCCCACAGCCTCCATCCTGCCATGCTGCCCGCCACTGATGGAGTGGGCCCTCGGTGATGGGTCTGGGACCAGCCTGGGCCAGTCAGGAGGGTGCCCTCAGGCCACTGGGACTGTGGGCTTCAGGGCAGGTGGGTGAAGACTGGGCAGCTCTGAAGTAGGTCAATGGACTTGATGAGCTTTCCTTGATGCCTGAACTTTGGGAAGCCCAAACTACCCCCGGGGCTGGCTTTCTCGTTTCCTGCCTCAGTGGGAGAACGAAAAATGGAGCAAAGTGGTAGGTACTTGTTGTGAAGACGGCACAGTCTTCCCCCTTCCCCAGATCCCTAAGACTTCTCAAGTGGGAGGCTCGGGCGGCACTGCTTTTGGCCTGGAGCGCGGAAGCCCTGTCTGTGCTGAGACCTGGGTTGTCAGTGCTCACCGGAGGATTCAGCAGCCTCTGCCTTGCCGTTAGCCCCTCCCAAGTTGGCCGGGGTGGCTTTTGTAGCCACTCTGTCCAAATATATAGGTACCCAATAGCTGCCCGTTTTTCGAGCCCATCTTCACCCAGGCCCATGTTGGTCCATTCAGCTCACCAACTGCTGCAGAGTCACAAGCCTCGAGGTGCCTTCGGCAGGGCCTGGTTGAAGACGGCCAGTGGACCACCTGCCCCGACTAGCTGGGCCAGAGAGGCAGAAAACCCAGTAGCCCTTATTTCTTGCCCTGGGGGCCAAAGCTTTGCTTTCTCCCCACTGAAATTTGCCTTCCCAATCCCTGTGCTGTGGGGACCAAGTCTGCAGCTATGAGCATGCCCTTTGGGCTCTGTGTGAAGGCAGAGAAAGGAAAAATGATTAGAGGAAATTAAGCGCTATTTGGGCATGTGGGCTTCAGATCTCAGTAGTGTCTCAGAGCTACCTGCCTGTATTCTCAGCTCCACATCACTGCTCCAGCCGTGAGCAAATGCCAGTGTCCAGTTCACGGTGACGGGAGCACTGTGGTTAACTCTCACGGCACTCTGGCCACCCATGTGTGCTGATGGGCAGGCGTTGGTGCTGAGGGTAGGTGGGAGCCCCCTCTGTGCATTCTCCAAGATGCTCAGAGGGGTCTCCCTGTGGCAGGATGTCTGTTAGCTACTGGTCTGGTTGGTGTTCTGAACCGAATTAATCACACATTCTGTCCTAGGAATTCCTGGCATTTGGGATTTCCCCCACCCCTGGCACTTGGGATTTTGTTTTTTTACTTCAGTGATTGGTGAGATCTTTAGGTCTTGATATGACCCAGGATCCAGCCCCACTTCCAGGACATGGGGAATCCAGTCAGAGCCCAGGCCCTCGCTGAGACCCGAATGTATGCACATTCGCTGAGAGAATCTTCAACATCCTCGACTGTGTAGCTTTCAGTCATCACGGGTGTGCATGGGAGGCTGGCTTAATGCAATAGGAGTGCCCCCTCCAAAAGTTGTACATGGCATTTTTGTAAATCAAATCCTTATCCTTCATCTTTTAAAGAAATACTACCACGAGTCCTTTTGTAAGTGAAAAGTCCTTTTGTAGAGTGAACCGCTGCCTCCTTCTTGATCTCCTGTGTCGATCCAAGTGGTGGGACACAGTTTCATAAGGCTAGGCCTGCCTGCGACCCGCATTTCGAGCCTGTGAAACAAACTGCACACAAGTCCTATGTACCTGTCATTGTACCTCCAGTCACTCCCGTCGTCTCCCACAGGCTCTGCCTTGGAGGTCCAATGGGAACGATGCTACGGCCCTGCCCTGTCGTGGCCACATGGAAGACCCAGGGCTGGGCTGTTGGGAAGGCCCCCGCAGGTTCTGCGTTTCAGCTCAGGGCTTGCCCGCCTGTGATGGGTCCTTGAGTCCGGCCTGGAACAGCCCTATGCAGACAGAGGATGATCCCTGCTCCCTTCCCTTCCCTTTTAAGTTCTGAGGTCCAGTTCACGGGGATGGGAACACTATGGTTAACCCTTGTGGCACTCTGTCCATCCCACGTCAGCCCCCCACAATCATATTTTAATGAACATTAGGATCAGTTCCTCTCCAGCACTTGGAAGCCCCTGTGAGCAATCTGCCCGAAGACGGCACACTGTCCTAAGGCTGTGTGTGCTTCCTGGCGGATTCATTAGACCTGGGGCCACTGTGCACGGGTGGATGGGTTTTAGGAGACAGGTCACACATTTCGCCATGATCTCAAGCTTCTGGCTCCCTCTTCTCCCGGACTCAGGGTGTGACCCAGACGAGCTCGCTCTCTGCGGGCCAGTTGCTCATCCATCTCTGGCTCACACATCTCCTAGGATGGTGGTGCGGGCTGATCCACGGGGAAGTAGAAGCATTCTGAGACCGTGAACGCTGTTGCCCTCAGTGGCAATCCTGCGGTGGGATTTCCCACCCCGAGTCCAGGAGCTGGGCCGTAGGCAGTCTGCCTGATGACACAGCTCTGGGTTATTTAGGCTCTAACCCACTTTTACCTGAGTTATCTAGATTGTTCTCATTTCTCACGATTGACCTCATTTCTGTCTCATTCCAAGGCAAGGTACAGGAGTTAGAATAGGTAAGAAATACGGCAACATGGGCAGAATATGTAAAATGGAATGCAGCTACCTAAAATGGGCCTGGGTAGGGGAGCCCAAAGCTTCAAGTCTTTGTAAGAACTAGAGCAGATCCATATTTTATTTCATTTCCAACCCCACCCCCCACCCTTCTTCCTCTGCCTCCTCCTCACCGGTGAAGAAATAGCTACATTCTAAGAATAATATCTGTATAAAAGGGAAAACATGGAATGGTTTAAAAAAAAACAAAAAACATGAGAACAAAAATGACTGGAGGGACTTCCATCTTTTAAAAAAAATTTATATTCTTTTATTTGTAGTGGCAAACGACAAGATGGTACAACCTTTATCCTTTTCCAAAAACAAACCAAGGGCACAGAATCTGTAGTCAGCCGACAACTATCTCTGCCTTTGGGGGTGGTCTGGTCGTACTTGTGATGCCAGTGGTACGTGGCCCCTGCCAAAGGCTTGCCCCTGCCCATGTGCATAGTGCAGCGTCCCTGTGGGCGGGCCCAGCACTTTCCGTCAATGTTGTACTGTACGTGATGAATTGATGAATTACGTTGGTCTCTGCATTTTTCTGCAGAAGAGGAGTAACCGCTCCAGGTACCTGACCTTTGTACAGCCCAGAGGCCAACACTGTGGGCGTGTGACTCTAGCGACAAAACCCATGTGGTGATGATGTGTGTATATATATAAGGATATATTGGGAAGATTTCTAAATAAAAGTTTTACAAAGGGAGCTGGACTCTGCTTGCATGTTGCACCCCATTAAAAGGAAAGGCGTAGCAAGAACCTGTCTCCCTTGAAATGGGGGCCCCCAGAACTCTGAGGGGGACTCCCACCCCTCCCTGAGGCTTCCCCAGGAGGGTTTCCCTTCCTTCCCCTCTGCCAGGCCTCACAGAGGGGGCCTCTTCTCAGCATTGTGCACCCACACTTTCCACCTGGGGCTGCCCCACAGATATTCCACTCTGTTGGGTTCAGCGGCTGTGACTGGGCAGTTGCTTTTATCATAGATTTAGGACAGATTAGAGTCTCACCAAAGGAGTCTCCCAGGTTCCCTGATGACTCAATCAAGGCTGCAGCTCTTATGCCTGGCTCTCGAGGACTGGGGGGTGCAGGTCTCATGCGGGCTCAGGGATCGAGGGAGGCTTTGGGGTAGTGAATAGAAGCTTAGGAATGGGAATGCTGTTCAGAGGCGGGACTCGTGGTTCCCTGGAGAGGCCTCTGCACGTGGACTGTTGGCTCTTCAGGACCTCAGGAGGTTAGACAGGCATTTCCAATGGAGCACCAATCCTTTCTTATGTTCATTTAACAAATATTTTTTGAGAACCTCCCATGAGCCGGGGATGGTTCTAGGTACTGGGGACCCAGCAGTGATGAAAATGAAGATCCCTGTGCTTGTGTTGCCCACATTCTAGCAGGGAGACAGTAAACACGGACATGCACAACCATCAGAAAGGTGTTGATTACATAGTAAGTTGGAAGGTGATCAGTATTAAGGGAAAAGATGTGTCAAGAAGGGAATTTAAGGTGCCCACAGCTAATGCTGGCTCCTTTGGGTGAGTTTATCTCATCCCACCAGGTTCGGATCTTGACTGCCCTGTCTTGGGTGTTTCCAACTGTAGCTACGAGGGCCAACGCGCAACGGCGCCGGTATCACGCTCCGACCTGTAGGGAAGCCCTTTGGCTTTTAGAAGACTGTGTGTCTCTCTCTAGCCCAGGGCGAGGTCCCTGGGCAGCTGGGATGGTGAGACGGAGCTCTGGGGCAGGGAGGTCAGTGGGGTCTTGGTGGGGGTAGTGGTGGGGGGCCCGGGACCCAGCGCCTGACCTGTGCTCCCAAGCCTGAGGAGCAGCAGGATGAAAGGATGAGAGAGAGAGAGAGAGAGAGAGAGAGAGAGAGAGAGAGAGAAAGAGGCTGACGCAGCAGTGAGAGGCGGGAGAAGCTGGGAGGTGGTGTTTCAGAGGCGAAAACAATGTGTGGGGTTAGCCAAACCCAACGCCTCTGAGAGGCCAAGTGAACAAAGGCCTCAGGTGTTGACTGGATTTGGCCATGTGGAGGCCACTGATGACTCTGGGAGAAGAGTGTCGGGGTGGAGAGGAGAGGCACGGCTGTCATGGATGGAGAATGGGAAGGTGGAAGGGAGGAGCATCCACTTCCAGAAGCCCTTTCCCAGGAGCGAATGAGAGTCAGGAGGAGCCCATCAGCTTGGTGGCACAAGGAAGAGACTATGACGCTATCGAACGCCCAGGCTGCCCAGGCCGGGCGATTGTCTGGGCTAGTGTCCCTATCTCCACATGGGGAGACGGGGGCTCAGAAAGGAAAGGAGTCTTCCCAGGGCCACATGTCCCATAAACAATGACAGTCGTGGCGGGCAGGGCAGGACCAGGCTTCCTGCCTCCCAGAACAACTGGTGCCCACCACAGGGAAGGGACCACACCCTGGGGCCGTGCCTGAACGGCCTGCTGATCTTTCCAGACTCCCTCTTAACACTCTGTTCTTCGTTCTCGTCACTCCCATCATACTGTCCTTTCTGGTCCAGGCTGCAATTTTTTCTGTTTATAACTATCCAGGTTTTGCACTTCTTGTTACTACGCATCCTCTGCTCCCACCCTCCTTTCATTTGGTTAACTTGTCCTCGGCATCCAGAAGACTTTATGGGGTCAGCCTCCTCCTTTGTGTCCACAAAGGCTTTCCTTCACTCTGTGCTGTCCACTGTTGATCCACTTGTCTGCTTCCCGATTCAAACACAAACTCCTTGAGGGCAAAGCCATGTCTGACTTCTCTCTTCATCTCTGGTGCCCTGCGTCAGACCGGGCCCAAGGCCTTGCCGACGTTTGCTGAATGAAAAGCTTCTCCTGTACGACATATTCTAGCTCGGTTTTGAGGGCAACATGGAATGAAAGGGTGAAGGGGAGGTGGATGGGTGGGAGACAGGGTCATTTCTGCAAAAATGCCTGCTCCAGCCCTTTACCTAATTCCATGGTCCTGCGCTGGTAAGGGGCAGGTGGACAGCTCTGCCCCTTGGGGTGGCAGAGGGCCTGGGGCTGCTTTTGTTGGTAGGGGGAGTAGGGAGGCAGGGTATGAGCTTTCTCGGGGTAGACACCAGCAGCCTGGTTATCGTACTGGACCTGGGTGGAGTGAGGTGGAGGTTGATGAAGATAAGGAGGCTGTTTATCTGGTCTGCTCATAGCTGCACTATCCCCTTTCTGCTTACAAAACAATGAACTGTTCCCCAGTATCCAGCACCCCTCCTCTGGCGCTGCGGCTGTGTGTGCCCAGCAAGCACCTCTGACCAGCCTGCTGGGCACAGTGCCCTTAGTCAGAGTGAGGAAAGGAGTAAGTCAAGATCGCCCAGGGAGTCCCCTCTATTGTCCAGAGGAGGAAATGAGGCCTCGTGAGGGGATGGGGGCTTCACCAAGAGGACCCAGGATTTGAATTCTGGTCTGAGTCCAAAGCCAGTGCTCACTGCCCCTCGGGAGAAGAAGAAACACCCAGGAGAGGTGGTGTTTTTAGAGCAGATAGGCCTGTGCTCTGCTATGGGGGAGACAGCAGCTCAGCTTGCCCAGTCATCTGCCCAGGGCCACGAGCAATCTGCGTGGGTTCTGGCTCCCGGACAGTGAGGACAGTCGACCTGTCAGCTCCGGGAGGGAAAGGCCAGAGCACAGGTGGGACTGAGCAGGAAAGGCAGCTGGGCCACAGAAAGACCGCTGCAGCCACCAGTGCCCACTGTGACATTCTCTTTGGCTCCTCCTCTCCCTCCCCACTCTCTGGGTCCGAGCCCTGCCTCCCTCCCCAGCTCCTGGCCTTCTCTGTCCACACAATAACAGGATGTGATCCGTTCGAAGAGAGGAAGTGGGGAGGACGGGCAGTGCTGATAGCGCATTTCTGACTCTCCACGCCTCTCCTTTGCTTTGGACCAGCCCCTGCTCATTTCTGCCTCTCCAGGCCTCTCCATTGCTTTGGACCAGCCCCTGCTCATTTCTGCCTCTCCAGGCCTCTCCATTGCTTTGGACCTGCCCCTGCTCATGTCTGCCTCTCCAGGCCTCTCCATTGCTTTGGACCTGCCTCTGCTCATTTCTGCCTCTCCAGGCCTCTCCATTGCTTTGGACCAGCCCCTGCTCATTTCTGCCTCTCCAGGCCTCTCCATTGCTTTGGACCAGCCCCTGCTCATTTCTGCCTCTCCAGGCCTCTCCATTGCTTTGGACCTGCCTCTGCTCATTTCTGCCTCTCCAGGCCTCTCCATTGCTTTGGACCTGCCTCTGTGGCCGCCTCGGCCCGAGGCTCTGCCCAGGCCTCTCTCTGGATTTGGGAAGGATGAGTTTGGGATCTTCAGGCCTGTGTAAGCCCATGGAAAGTACACGCTGGCCCTGTGCAGGACCTGCCCTCCTGGCTCTAGCTTTGCTGCCCGGAGACAACTGAGACCCTGAAACTCAGGGAAGGCAAGCTCTGGGCTCCATAGTATCTTCTTGAGCTGCTGGAGCCTGGGGAGGCAGGTGGGTCCCTCAGCCTCTGCCTGCTTCCCCAGGTCCATGCGGGTGACAGAATCACTCAAAAGGTCCTTATCGAGCATTGGCTGTGCTTTGTCTTATACAGGGTGAGGGATGGGCTGCACGGATGGGGAAACTGAGGCTCCAAGAAGCAGAGGGACTTGTCTAAACTCAGCATGAACTAAGACTTAAGCTGGAGCTAGGACTTAGATCTCCTGACCCCCAAACTGGCACCCTCACCCCTTACGCCATGCTGCCCAGCAGAACTTTCTGTGATGATGGGCATGTGCCGTATTTGCCCTGCCCAGACTGGCAGTCACTAGCCGCAGGCAGGCACGCAGTGCCTGAAAAGTGCCTAGTGTCACTGAGGAACTGAAATTTTCATTTTGTTTAATCTGAATTAACTTAAATGCAGACCTGTGAAAATGCCACTCCCCTCGGGGAGGAATGGGGTGCAGGCTCTGAGCTTTCAGAGTGAAGAGATGTTAGTTGATCCTCAGGGAAGGCAGGTTATGGCAGAGCCAGGCCGAGGGCCCCAGATCCCGGGCCAGGAAGCTGGGAAGAGGATGTGGGTCACCACAGGTCAGCCTCACTGCACTCAGTGTCTGCAGATTATCCCAGAGGGCTGCACTTTCAGTTCTGCGGTCTCATGCTGCGTCTCTCAAGAACCCCGTGCCAGGGGCAGTCACTCCCATTTTACAGGTGAGGAAACACTGAGGTCAGAGATGGTAAGTGATTTGCTCAAGCTCAAAAGGGAGCCAGTTCCGTCACCCCATAGCAGGGGAAGCCCTGAACACTTCCTGGATCACTCCAGACTAGGACCACACAGGCCCAGCGTGAGGACGGACCATTTGGAGGGGAAGTCAGAGGAGGGCCCTCAGACATTGTGGGAGGGGGGTTAGGCGATTGGTTATTTTGTGTTTCCTGATTCTTGGAGAAGACACAATCCCTCCTGACTCAGACTATTATGCAAATGGCAATCTGAAGATAACATCCCTTCCTCCTGCCTGGTCCCCACCCCCTTGCCATCCCGTAACTAAGTACCCCGCCCCCTTCAAGACCCCTGCCTTTCTGAGACCCAGTGGAGCGACGAGACCAGGGAGGAAAACCCTTTCCCACCCCATGCCTCGTGTCAGCTCAGCCAGCTGAGACCCCCAGAACCCAGGGTCCTCAGCCCTTCCCAGCTCACCCGCTGCAGCCTGGGACGTGTGGTGCTCCTGGGTCCCAGGCTCTGCCAGATCTCTGGGGGCCAGGCCTTCTGCCCTCTGGCTGTTCCCACACAGGCTGGCCATGGCTCCTGCTCAGTGTGCCCCGCCCCCTGCCCAGCTGTCCCCTGGGAGCTTCGTGTTCAATGGACTATCAGGCTTCCTCATCACTCTCACGCCCCCTCTCCATTACCCCTGAATAGGTGGGATCCAGACAGACACAGGCATTCCCAACCCCAAGCCCCCAGGCAATCTCCCCCAGGGTGGCCCGGGTCTCAGCTCTGATGCTACCTGCCTTGCCTTGCTCAAGACTGAAGTGCTGGGCGGCTGCAATTCGACAAAGCACTGTTCTAAAGCAGCAGTCTAAACGAGGTCCTGATTGCCCTGGTCTGTGATGCTAGGATTTGACTCTGTGGGCTTAATGACGGGAAAGTTGAGGTCTCTAAGGCCCTCAGATTGTATCATCCTAGGAGCTGTCATTCGGGATCATAGCTTCTCTACGTCCCTCTGGCCTTGCTGCCTGCAGCAGATGGTGCTGCAATGTAAGGAGAGGCTTCTGGGGCAGGCAAGACAGGGTAGTGGTTGCCTGGCTTGGTTATTTTTAGGGAGGGGGACAGGGTTGGCCACAGGACCCTTCAGGGTCCACATCTGCTCATTTGGGGCTCTGCCAAAGCTGGGCTGGTCTGTCCAGTTGCCGGCTGCAGTGAGGCTGGCAGGTTTTCTGTATGATGCTAATGAGGGCAGTGGCAGGCCAGGAGGGGGAGGGATGCTTTTGTCCTGCACTTGTCCTTGCTGGAGGGTCCTCAGAGAGAGACAAGGGGCCCTCCTCAGACCCAAGGGGCCATGAGTAGCCTGCCATCACTCACTTTGTTGGCTCCCAGTGTTCGGCGGTGTGGACAGAGACCAGGGAGGGAAAGGGGAGCAAGAGGGTCACACCAGTTTAAAGTCAAAATGAAAAATGCTGCCCTATTCTCCCGCTGACATCCTGTCTTGAGGGACTGCTGAGCTCCCGAGTATTCCATGTCCATCCTCTTACTTTCTCACCTCTGAGCCTTTGCATACCTGAGGTGCCTTCCCTGC